TTTAATTTTACGATGTTTTGTGGCGGACGGACGGTCACCTTCATCTTTACTTTTATCCGTTTTATCATTTTTACGATATTTTTTGCGATCTTTTCTGCGATCTTTTTTGTCGGATTGAAGGTCATTTTTTGCTGAGAGTGTGTCGCTGCCAACTTTACGATCCATTTTGCGGTCGGTGACATCAGTGTCACTGTCGCTATTAATTTTACGACGTTTTGTGGCGGACGGACGGTCAGGTTCATCTTTTCTTTTATCAGTTTTATCATTTTTACGATCCTTTTTACGATCTTTTTTGCGATCTTTTTTGTCGGATTGAAGGTCACTTTTTGCTGAGAGAGTGTCGCTGCCAACTTTACGATCCATTTTTCCATCTTTTCTTTTATCAGTTTTATCATTTTTACGATCCTTTTTGCGATCTTTTTTCTCGGATTGAAGGTCACTTTTTGCTGAGAGAGTGTCGCTGCCACCTTTACGATCCATTTTGCGGGCGGTGACATCAGTGTCACTGTCGCTCTTAACTTCACGATGTTTTGTGGCGGACGGACGGTGACTTTCATCTTTTCTTTTATTAGTTTTATCATTTTTACGATCCTTTTTGCGATCTTTTTTGCTGAGAGAGTGTCGCTGCCAACTTCACGATCCATTTTGCGGTCGGTGACATCAGTGTCACTGTCGCTATTAACTTCACGATGTTTTGTGGCGGACGGACGGTGACTTTCATCTTTTCTTTTATTAGTTTTATCATTTTTACGATCCTTTTTGACGGATTTACGGTCATTTTCTGCAGACACTGTATCGTTACCAATTTTACGTTGAGTGACATTATCCTTGGGTTTATTTAAGGCTGCCCATTTCAAATAGCAAGGGTGTCGAAGTAGTGAGTTGTTGCCTTCTGTTTTAAAATTTATGAAAAACTTTTCATCGCATAGGCTACATACATACGCTCGCCGCACGAAGTGACCATCATTATCATAAACCAAGTTTATTACATTCCACGCTGATGACCGGAATGCTGCTTTATCTCTTTTCATTCTCTGACGATGATATAGAATTTTCTTTCGGAGGCACTTTTTTAAATGCTTTACTCCCTTACAGACAAACTTGCTTTCGTTTTCTATATTGTTAAAAAATAATGATGAATTGTCAAATGTTATGTTCAAAATTGAAACAAGAAAAAAATATTGGTATACAGATAAGTCCTCGAACGTTTACAAAAACCAAATTGAAAATGCGACAAAAATTGTACTGTAAATGTATTGTAAATTGTTTTGAAATAAATGTCAAACAAAACTTGTTAGTCAACGTTACCAAACGGATGTACGGCCAAACGGACGGCTAAATGATCAAACGAAAATTACAAACATACACACTTTGGTCACTGAGACATGTTAACTTAATACCATTGTTTCTAACAACTTATTAATTGTGTGAGCACAGAGTTCAGCGCTCTCCCTCTCTCTTTCTTAAGCATACATAAACACTGAATTTGAATATTGTTTGTGTATCGAATTGATCATTTCTATCGAAAATATCGAGAAGAGAGTATGTCATTTTTAAGCTGAAAATATATCAAAAGAGGTGTATGTTTTTGAGCGATTGTGTTCATAGCAAAAGGCGAGTAAGTTTCTTCACATAGAAAAATGTATAAAGGAGAGCATGTCTTTTCAGCTATTGAGTTTGTTGAAAAAGGGAGCATGTTCATGTGACCTAGATTTTATAAAAGGAGAGTATGTGATTTAGCCAAACTGCTCTGTATTAAAGGAGTGTATGTGTTATGGGTATCTATTGTAAACAGAGGAGAGTAAGTTTCTCTACGTTCTTGTTGTAATAAAAGCGAGTATGTTTAGAGATATAGTGTATTTATTTAAGTTTTTTCTGCCGATTGTATTAGGCGAGCATAAGTGGCAGCTACAACATATTTGATATTTGCACGTTGCTATAGCAACATTAACACATAACAGCGGATTGCACAGGCGTCGTCGTTCGAGTGAAGCGAACAAAGTCTATGTCGTTCTAACGGGCGCGCATGATACGAGAATGTGAATCAACGTTGAATGCTTGATATTCGATATGCCGTTGTTTTATTCACACTCTCACGCAGCAATATATTTGAACTGTATTGTGTTCAGACCGCTATATTCATTTCAACTGAAGTAAGTGAGAAAGAAATATAATTTAACTGTGCACACATTCAAATGGTTAAGAATAAACACAATTTGAATTCGCAAATTTTTGTTGTTTACATACACATTTGCACAGGCTTCATTCGTTTGTCAATACATTTGTGTAATATTGTTATTAGCAGTCACATTCGGTCAGATTCATAACATATTTCATATTTTTGAAATTGTGAGCGGTGTGCACGCACATTAAAAATACATCACAAGTCAATTATAATTAGAACGTAATACTCATTGCACACTTTGACATCATGGAAAAAAACAAAGAAAACGTAGAACCTCGCAAAAAAGGTCGCAAAAAAAGAGATTACATTATAAATAAAGAAAAACGAGAAAGTGGACAAGAATACGCAACAGGAAAAGGAAAGATAATGCCAGCCAAATTGTTTAAGAAAGTAGTTTGCAAATGCTTGAATTCCTGTCATTTGATAATCGATGAGGAACATCAAAAGCAAATTTTCTCACATTTCTACAGTTTGGATTCGTGGACAAAAAAAACATCATTTTTGCTAAATCACATTGCAATCAGTAAAATTTAAAATCGTCGTAAACCTCAATTGCTAAAAAATATCCAGTTCAAAAAGTCCTTTTCTCGTCGGTACTTTTTTGTAAATAACAATAATCAAGTGTGCAAAAAATTTTTCAAGGCTGTTTTGCAGATTTCCGAAGGGAGAATAGAAAAATGTGTGAAAAAGAAAATAAAAAGATCGAGCACGTGCACAATTGATTTACGTGGTAAACATGCATCACATAAAAGAACACACGCTGAAAAATTGCAATATGTTGTGAAATTCATCAATTCATTGCCAACATATGAATCGCATTACACACGAGAAAGAGTACCACACAAAAAATATTTATCATCAGACCTGAATTTGAAAATTTTGTTCAATGAGTACAAACAATTTTGCCGTGACACTGGAAAAGAAGCCGTATCGATGTACATGTTTCGTGATACCTTTTATCGAAAGTTCAATTTGCGATTCAAGCCACCAGCGCAGGATACATGCGATTATTGTAATAAAACTGAAATGAGCATAAGATCCGCTCCGTTTAAATCCATTGAGCGCATGGCACTGGTTCAAAAGAAGGTTTTACATTTACAACAAATCGAGAAACTCAAAAGAGAATATAAAGAGATTCATGGAAATTCAAAATTGAGTGGTGGAAAACGAATATTACTTGTCTATGATTTAGAAAAAGTGTTTTCACTTCCAAAACTAACAACAAGCTCGGCATATTACAAGCGAAAATTAAATACATACAATTTTTGCATTCACGATGCAACAAACAATCGCTCTTATATGTACATATGGCATGAAGGCATCGCATCCAGGGGACCAGAAGAGATAAATAGCTGTTTGCTTTATCATTTAAAAAATTTCGTTCCAAAAGATTGTATTGATTTGGATACATATAGTGACAGCTGTGGTGGTCAGAATCGCAATAAGAAATCATCACTCATACTCAGTCATTTTTTGGAGACAAGTGATCACCTTCAAACAATAACACAGCATTTTTACCGCCCAGGTCATTCATACAACGTTTGCGATTGCAAATTTGCAATTATCGAAAAGAAAATTAAAAAAACAGAAAGTATTTACACTCCCAACGAATTGAAGGACTTGATAGCGAGTGCTAAAGAAAAACGACCGAAATTTGTGGTAATTGAAATGAAAGAGACGGACTTTTTTAAATGTGACATATTGGAAACTCAATTTTGTACAAATCGCAAAAAAACACCAGAAAAGCAAGCAGTTAATTGGTTCACATTTCGCAAAATCGCTTATAAAAAAGGCCAACCGTTACAACTTTATTTCGAAACATACGACGATATAGATACAAAATATGATGAAAGTGTCGAGTTTGAGCGTGACGTGAGCAAACAACTTTCATTGGCTAAACGTAATTTTGATCAGGATGCTTTCATTCACACACAATTGCCAATTTTGTATCCAAACGGAAAATCCATTTCGGTAGACAAAAAATCGGATTTAATGGAATTATTACAATATATTCCTCAAACACACCATCTCTTCTACGTCAGTTTACGCCATAGTGACGCTGAAAGTGAAAATGCCGAACCACCGATTCAAACAGAGACAATTACTATTTTGGATGATAGCGAGCCAGAAAACGGAGAAGAACATCCATTAATGGAATTCATGAGAGATTT